TCCAGGTGGGGTCTCACGAGAGTGGAGTAGAGGGGCAGAATCACTTCCTTTGACCTGCTGGCCACACTTCTTTTGATGCAGGCCAGGATACGGTTGGCCTTCTGGGCTGCGATTGCACATTGCTGGCTCATGCTGAGCTTCTGGTCAATCAGCACCCCCAGGTCCTTCTCCTCAGGGCTGCTCTCCAGCCATTCCGCACCGAGCCTGTATTTGTGCTTGGGATTGCCCCGACCCAGATGTAGGACCTTGCACTTGGCCTTGTTGAACTGCATGAGGTTGGCTTTGGCCCACCTCTCCAGCCTGTCCAGGTCCCTCTGGATGGCATCCCTCCCCTCCAGCGTGAATAAAACACCACAGTCCTTCCTACTCAAATATTTTTTAAGACTTTCCCCAGAAATGCCAGGGTCACCCTCTTCTCAACTTACTCGCTGCCAGGTTTTTCCCCCAGGCTTGTGTTCCACCACACCGGGATTTCTGCCCAGTTTGCCTTCTGGACTTTCTTGTGGACATATGCCAAATACTATTGCTCAGGCTGTGTTTCTTATTTGCTGATGTGAAATCTCTGATTTCACTACTTTGCTCAGGTGACCCCTTCCTGGCATGGCCTCTCCTGATCTCCATTTATTATAATAAGCAATTTTGGCTTCTTTTAAGTACCTCAGTAACTCCACAGGCTTATTGTCCCTTGCTGAGGTTCATTCTGAACCTTTCTCTCTTATGCCACCTTACCTAGCCTCATCTACTGGTTTCATAGCTTCACCCACACTTGCCTCTGACTTTTATTACAAAAGTGACAGTGTTAAATTTTACTCATTCCAGAAAGTTCCCACTCTGTACCCATTTATGTCTTTTTAATCCCAACCATACCTAAAAGGAATCAAACAACCTTTTTCTTCCTGTTTCATAAAGAACTCTCTTCTACTAAACTCTCTACTTTTTTACCCTTTGGCCACCATTCCTTTTGTCCTTAGAGAGGACCTAACAGGCCGTGAATTAGCATGTAAACAATACCATTATTAAGCAAACAAAGAATTCTTCTGAGCAATTCTCTGAGGTAGTTCCAGACAAAGCTAACTAATTTGGTCCCGTCCTCATTTAAAGGCCATTCTTTTCACATATTCAAGACTATCCCTAAACTACAATCCAAAGGAATGACAGAAAATTGTAAAGACATACCCAAGCTACTGATCTCAAGGCCCTTGTTCAAGTTACCTCGGTCAAGTACCTACAGGGTGTAGCACAGGGGTACAAAGCACAGTCTGAACCAGGGGATGGAGTTTTCACAGAAGGCTTTAAAGCAAGTTTCACATCCAAGGTTTCATTCAATGCATGTGACACGCAGAACCGCCTGCTCCCCAAGGAAACTGTGTTCATGCAGGAATATGCTGAGCTTGTGGAGAGTTCTGAATTCCTTCGTGTTCAATGAAATCTGCCACAGGATTCGGATACTACCAGATTATTTCATCTAAACTCATTTGGCCTTTTCCACCGCTAAAACATCCCATTAATCTATTTCAAAACATAAGGAGTTAAGTTAAAATGAGTTACCTTTTCTTGATATTGACGCCGTGAGGAATCCAGAGACTGAATGAGGGCAGTGGCGTGACCAACAAACATGGCATAGCAAGTTGCCCCCACGATCATACTTAACATGGTTATCCAGAGGTCGGACATGCTGACGGGAGCGCGGGCTCCATAACCAATGCAGAGCATATGGCTCATGGCTTTGAAGAGCGCGTATGAGTACTGCTTTCCCCAGGAATCGTTCTGCAAGAAAAGAGACAAGTGACTGAGCCAGCAAGCAGCTGAAGGAGAAAATAGATTTGTACCTGTATAGTGGGATCATAGATTACTAGTGCATGAGAAGAGATATTCCTTCTAAATTAATTGTTAGATAAAGCGTCAGAGATTCTGCCAGATACTACTTGGCACAGTGAGATGAAATAAAATTGACTATTTTTAATACATGATTGTATTCTTAAATGTGGGTGTTAACCTAATTACAAGGAGACTAAAGGTCAATTTTATTTTACAGTCCATGGCAGACGGATTAGAAAGAGCTGAGCACGCAGACTTTTCAAGCGCAAGAAGGTAGTATTTCATTTTACTATGCACGAACATACTCCTCTGGCCCCATTTCTTTCTTTTCAAAGTTGTCCATTTTAAAACGCAACCACATTTCATCTTATCAGCTGCTTCAGTTCTCAAGGACAGAAAAAAAAGTGTTTGTTGTAATGTCCACTTATCCTGTATTTTCTTGTAATATTGTGTTTATACCAGAAGCATCTTAATGCAAAAGAAGTCTGTTTATTCTGCAATCATAGCAAACCCATGTTCGTAGCCACGGTCTGTGAAACACAGCTCAAAAGAAAAGGTGAATACCTGGGTCCTGCATTTCTGATGTGCAGCTACCCCTTATTCTCTCTGGGACACTAGAAGGACCTGACAGCTCACTCACAAGCTTTTAAAACTGCAAAGGTGTTGTCAGCATCCTCCCTTTAGCTTTACATAGAGACAAAGGGGCTGTTCCCAGAGAAAAGCAGACACTTTAACACATTCCAAAAAGCCCTGGGACTCCTTGTCAGATTTTTCTATTTTCCTTGCCAATGGAATGAAACAAGAATAGGAAAAAAAAATGTGCTTGGGGGCACACAGCGTACATGAGAAAACACAGTATTTACCACAAAGAGCTAAGAATAATCTCAGAAATGAAGAAGCGAAGAAGGAAGAACCGGATAACGTTAGTAAATTAGGCAGTTATCCAGTAAATTGTCCAACATACAGGACCAAAAATAATAATCCCGTTAACATAAACAAATATCCAAATAAGCAGTAGCATTTATATATAAAATTTACATTTGAAATACCAATATTTGGGTCTCTCTTCCACCCATACAAGCTTTGCTCAAATGGTCTTCTTTGAGAAAGAGCTTCAGGCTTGCTCTCTTGCCATTTAAATGCCAAGGTTACTAACTACTTTTGTGTGTTTCATCTATTAAAATGCTTTTTCTAGACCCCCTATTAGCTAAAATAACTGGTAACACGAAATAAGCTAACAATTCTTGGATTACAAATGATAAAGTTACTATTTATTCACTAATATAACAATTTACAAATTAATGGTTCCTCTGTATTTAGATTTCTAAGTTAAAGCTTTTCAGATTTGTGAGCTGTTTCTGTCTTCACAAATGAAAATTTTGTGCTGCAAATTCTGCTAAGGAATAGGTTTTCTATGTCTGTACTTCAAAAAAAAAAGAGACTTAGACTGCTGAGAGCCAGGTTGGTTTCTCTGATTAATGACGAAATAAGTTTCCTTTTGTTTTAGGGATTAAAAAAATACTCCAAAAATCAAAGAACTGCAAAAGCTTCCCTGAAAAAATCTCCAGTTCAGGATTCAAATACCCAGCTGGAGCACAGAAACGCCTTGCCATCTGGGCCAGTGCAGGTATCTTTAATGCAAGTTCCCTGTCTCTCAGGAAAGTAACTTGTAGCAATCAAGACACGGTCTATTTTGAAGGACTTTCTTTCCAGCTGATATCAATCTCCTTTGGGTGGAAATAATTAATAATGGAATTGCTAGAGACCCATACCAAATTCTTTAGCAGTTGCAGCTTTCTATAGACTATATTGGGGAAAAAATAAACTGCTTGCTGCAAAAGATATCTGTTTTTTAAGGCTACAAGCAGCATATTTAAGCCACAGTATTCTAGAGGTTGTAAGATCAAAACCTCAGTTCTTGCAGGGCTCCATGCAGTGGATCTTGCTCCTAAAGTGTGTTTTTTAGCATAGCTATTATAAATATCAAATAAAAATAAAGCTGGTATTGATCTTGTATTTGAATCTTTTCTATCATATCCTTGGTGTGATAAATCTCAATTAAAATTCTTTCAGTAAAATTATATTTTTACATCAAAGTTTTTGAGTGTATCCAAATGCTGGTTGATTTTATTTCTTGTCTGAGATCCTTTCCAAGTCTGTGAATTACAGTTTTAAGTAAAATACCATTGTCTTTAAGAAAGAATAAGAAAATGGAAGTGAGGAGAAGCAAGGAGAAACAAAATACAAGGAGGGCTTTCTACTAAGTATGTAAGAGGGCAAGTGAAAAATAATTAAATAGTACTTGAGAAGTAGTACCACAAGGGAATAAGTGAGGTGTAATGACAGAAGAGAGTTAACTAAAAATGTACAACAAAATAAAAAATAGTATGTTTAACTAGGTGACTACCTTTACATATAAGCCAAAGTAGGATCCAACACCTCAAACATTGCATGTGGCTCCATCTGACTATCTGACTCCATCTGACATCAGACTCCATCTGAGATGGTCAAGGCCATCTCAAATGGCTGTTTTGTTACACAAGCGGCTTTAGATATTACTAGGCAGCCTGTGAGAGACCTTGTTACAGGCTAGGTACATTTCAGACATTTGTGAATGGATGGTCCTGAGGAGCTGGTTGTCAGATGAGTAGAAGGGGTTTAGCAGAACAAGAAAAAGACCTGGTGAAAAAGCCTAACAAAACATTTGAATTCAACTTGGATTCATTGAAGGATTTTATGGCTGAAAATAACCTGCTAATGCTTTTTTATTTTTTTTTATCCTTAATAATCAATCAGTTCTTGTATAATCAGTTGCAAACATTCGTCTTTTTAGTTTCTATGGGGATTTTTTTTAAGATGTTGCTGAATGAATACCATTGTGGAGGGTACAAATTTCAGTACAGTTACTTGTGTTGCTCAATGATTTATCCCATGTATAAACCACTTAAAAAGAACATTGGTTCTAATGTCAAATCCTATAAATCATGTGTGCTACTACCAACGTCACTATATGAAATAATAATTATTATTTAATTATTTTCCTACTTGTGTTGTATAACCTAAGGGTTTGGGAGGACCAACTTTAACTTTGTTTCAACGTGAGAGGTTGGAATTTTCCACAACCTCATTCCAACATGCGGCTTTTTCTGTATAAAAGTGAGGAGCAGCCATTCCTCTGCTACTAGCCTACAGAGATTTTTTCTTTTAATAAAAATCATTTTTGCATTTGCATCATAAGGAGATTTTTACATAACACATTCACAGATAATATCCCTGAGTTAATAAAAGCCTATTCTATGGAATAAAGAATCCTATGTTTACATAGCCAGCTTTTCTTTAATATAATTCTAAAATATTAATACTTACATAAATACATATTAAATGTTTCCCTAAATGGTCATATTCTGTTTTTAATGTATAGATTTTAAAAAAAAACAACCAAAACCACAAACGTCTATGAGCTGAAAAAATCTCCTACCAATCAGTAAAAAAGGGCATTAAATTTCTTAGTTGACAATGGGTTGATCACTGTTTCCAGATTAGCAGTAATCGGTTTAAAATGTTTTAAATGAAATGACATTAATTTGGAAAAACTATTAAAGACTGTAATTGTGAGAAATACCAAAGCTGTTTAACCAAGGATTGATTACATAATCTAGCTTGATGACATTAGGAAATCTTCACATTTCTGAAAGCAATGATCACTGATCATTTGCAATTAGTTCTGTAACTATATACATTAACTTAGCAGTTATCCTGAAGAATACATTAATCACAGGGCACTTCTGATTTTTAAAAGTCTGTTTCCAAGCCTCTTCCTTCACCACAGGATGCTATCCTTTGTCTCATAATTTCACACAAACCTGCTACAAATATATATTTGTAATATTAACTTTTAAGCTCATACAAAATAAATCACAGAAAGGTCACACAGCACCTTCTACGGGACAACAATAAATGGCAAATTATTTTTCTCAGTGGATTAAGACAGGGTTTCTATTTTACTGGAATCTACGGAGATTTCCACCAGGAGATTTTGTTGTCATCAGACAAACCAATTCCACTCCCATATTGTAGTCATTCCCTCAGGCACAGCTTATCTTCCCTCAGCCATACCCTTGCACTGAGATATAAATTGATTTAGAAATCTCATAACAAGCAGACTATTGCACAGACAGTAGGGCTTCCACATTTTTGACTCATTTCCTTTTTCCTTTCACATCACGGTCGCTGCATGTGTCACATAACTGGTCCTCTCAGTTTGCAAAGGCGTGCTTTACGATCATGGAGCAAAGATAGACCTAGGAATTAAGTGAAATGGTTTCTAGAAGGATCTTGAATTCACAGTCCTGATTCTCCCTTTAGTAGGAGTGGGGAACTAGGCTGTCCCTACCTCGAAGAGCTTGCCTTGTAATCAATCACACATACCCACTGCCTTTAGGTTCTTTTGAAAGTAAATGATATCTGCAGGAGAGAAAATGGATACAAATCTTGAAAGGATATAGATGGTTTGTGTCTATCCTAGTAAATTAAAAAGCATCAAAAAACATTTCCAAGTTCTAGAAGGTGGTTCATATGTGTATACTATTAGAAACTCCCCTGGTGTGGCACTGGCCATGTAGCATTCTCCCAAGCAATAGCAGGTCTACTTTGGAGCTGGCGTGAGTGAGGAACCATTCCTTCTAAGCAGCTGGCATGAGCTTGCCTTGTGCTGAAACCCAAACAAGATTAATTCTATGGACATAGTAGTTATTTCCTGTCCCAGTCCTACCCCGGTGCCCATTCAAAGTGGGCACATTTAATTTATGAGCATGGAGGCAGCTAGGCAGTCTGTAAGTAAGCCCTCTGGTTTTAGTGTTGTCACAGAAAGTTATTGCACAAAATGAATGTAAGGTTCAGGGTGGGGCTTCAAAGGTCAAAGAAAGCACAAAACATCCTTGCTCGCAAGG